AACCATTCTGGGCAAGGTAACCCAATCACAAAAAGACAAACATGATATGAACTCACAAATATGTGGACCTGCTTTATGATACATAGCAGTGACCGTGCTTTATCAGAGCTCTTATATATAATTTGAATTTTTGGAAACTTTAGCTATGCTGTCAACTTTGGAAAAAAGTATCCTAGTTTACCCATGTTGAGTTGGCATTGTACAGAAATTAACAGCCATATTGGTCTAGAAATGTTGAACTTAATTTTCTTCCATTTGTAGAGGGGTGACATACTGTATTAAATATGTAAGGTCATATCTACGTGGGTTTGATTACAAAAACTAACAAAGTATTTTTTAAATAAAAAAATAGATGAAGGGTCAATAAACAAACTGTATAATATTTCATACAAATTAAAGAATAGTCTAGCTCTAAACTAGCAGTAAAATACATATTTATAGTATGTAAGTAAGTACTCCCATACATATACATTCAGAAATTTACAGGCTCATTTTAATAGAAAACTAGAAAGATTTGATGAAATAATCAGAGACAGATAGGAAAGATTTTCAAGTATGGAAAAGGAAAGAGAAAACAAAACAAACAGGAAATGGCATGAAGAAAGTACAGTGGTAACAAATGCTTCTGGTCTCTAGGGAATGCTAATGTTGTGTAACTAGCACAAAAAATAAACTTGGGCAAGAATTGGGTGCAAGGATCATTTGAGGTTGAATTAGAAGAGGCAGGAAATGTGAGGCTTAGCTAGAAAGAACACATTGCAGGTGCATGTGCTGACATTTGCTAGTGAATCACTCCCTCCTCTCTAGCCCTCTTTAGGAAATCTTCAATCACCACTATAAAAAGTAGGGCACATTTTCTCCTCCTGAACTGCAAATTTATCCCTAATTCCCCTGAAGTTTAACTAATCAAAACCCTTACAAATTCTCTCTGGTAAACTTTGTGTCACTAGTAAACTGAAGATTGTCAGAACTGCCTTGGCTAAATTTGCTACTCCCCCCCAAGACTGTTAATAGCTCAATTACCATTAAATGTGAGGATTTTCTCTGACTCCATGCCTGACAAGACTCGAGATCAATGGTATCAAACCTACATTAGGTTTATTTCTTTTCTTCCTATTCTCTTTCATCCTATCAGAAAGCTTTGAAACCATCACTAAAACCACCATCTTTTTCCTTACTGCACTCAGTGAAGTGACCATACAAGAGAACAGAAATTCCTTCACCCTTAAGAACATACAGGACTGAGAACTATAGAAATGAATCCTAAAAAGCTGTACTAGTAATGTGTTAACATATGTCCTTTAAAGCTTATCTCTACCTTATTCTCCTTTTGATATCCTATCATAGCTATCAATTACATTTGGGAACCTAAATTCCAAACTCCTATGCTTGTAGCACAGAATTATGTATCTTTTACATTTACCCCAGTAAGACCATGCTGCTATTGATCAATGGAAAGGATAATAACAGAACAAACCAGAAATAGTTGCTAAAGGCTTTAAGAGAGATAGATATACATTTAATGATATACTATAAGGAAGTGTTCCTATACTAAAAGGAACAGTTTCCATTCCTTCAATTAAACTTTCAAAATAGTTTTCCTCATCTTCTCCTGCTGGTCTAAATTTCCGTTTTCTCTTTATACTCTCACTTGAGGATATAAGTTTCCTAAAAAGGAATTTTTATTTCAAAGTAACCCTAGCAATTGACCACTTTCATGCACACATAAACGTACAAGAAAAGGAACCACTTTAAAAGACCAATTCCTAGTTCTCCATTGAACATATTTTACCATGTATTTCTGTATCTTTCTTTTTCATTCTGGGGAATCTTAGCTTAAGCTCCTAGGTTTCTGAGTATTAATAATAATAGAGCCAAATACTCAGAATTCAAATGAGGATCTAACATTTGCTCTAATACATTAGTACTCGCTATGGGCTCCTCCACCTAAGAAGAGGCTGTCACTAAAACTAGTAAAGCTAACAAATGTATGAAGCAGACCAAAAAAATCAACTCCCCAAGAAAAAAATGAACAGCATAGTCGGTCAAGAAACAGGTTAACAGTAAAAACATAGTCAACAAAGTTGCTCCTAGTAATATATTAACTGAATATCACCAACCTAAACATACATGTTGGTTAGACACATTACAAGATACTTTGTCTCACCAAATGCCAACGGGCATCATTACCAAAAAAAAACTTTAATTCTACCTGTACAAAAAATACAATACTCTAAGACATTTATTTGTACAGACAATTAAAGAAAAAAACTTTGTAAAACTTCAACAAATTTCAAAGAATTTGGTGTTCAACTAAAAGTTCCTAATAGCAGTCAATATTTATCACCAAATATGTATAAAATAATTTCAATCTAAATAAATTATTGTCATTTCAGTGTGTGCTACAAAACTCTCACCAAGCACTATTGTGTGCTTTCTAATTTTGCAGTTGTTCAAGCAATGCCAAAACAAACTAAAGTAGAAACCTGAGGTGTAGATGATGGGGTGGGGGGTGGGGATTGACCAGCAAGCAAAAGAACACATCGCCAGGAAAAATTTTTCAACAAAGGGTTAAGATGTATTATTTCAGGCAGCAGCCACAGCACTGAAATTTAAGACATAAATAAGATAATGGTGGTGACCAAGAATAAGCCAGGTATGCCTGTAATCCCAGCACTGAGAAGGAAGAGATGGATGATCTTAAGTTTCATACTGACACTGTCTACTTAGTAAAATTCTGGGCTACCCAGGACTACTTACTTAGTAAGTCACTTCACTGAGTTGGGTTCCCCCGCCCCTTATTCTTTATAAGGGGGAGCTGCATGGGAGGGGAAAGAGGGAAATGGTATAATTTCAAATAATTAAAAACAAATGTTTTAAAATGAAGTTTTATGCCAGGCAGTGGTGGCGCACACCTTTAATTCAAGCACTGGGGAGGAGAGGAAGGCAGACCTCTGTGAGTTAGAGAGCAGCCTACTTTGCAAAGGTGACAAACAAAGCATCTTCTGGATGCTTAAAATACTCTGTATTAGAGCACAAAGGTATACGCTAACTTATGTGATCAAAAGCCAACAAATAAAACTAAAACCTAAGAGAGAAGAAAATTCATACTAGCAAATGCCTTCCATGTCTAAAGTTTCCTTTTTTAAGAGAGATGAAGGAAATCATTGTCAATACATGTAAAAGTTTTATAGTTTTCAGTATCAAGGATATGACAGAGTTGTAATCTTCGGCCAAGACAGCAATCAATCCCCTTCCTAAGGACTTTAAACATATCCACTTAGCTTAAAATACCTAGCACACAGAAGAGACTAGAACACTTCAAATTAAAAATACCCACACAGGGCTTTATAGTTTAGAAAACATGCCATTATTTTGTGATTTTCAACTTTTTCTAAAAGGCAAATGATTATACAGTAGTTTGGTTGTTTTTGAGTACGAATATCCCTACTCAAATTCTGTCTTCTTTCCATTAGAGCACACTACTATCATAACTCATTTTATAAGAGAGAGAGACTAGACTTTTAATCTGGTACTTGGTTACTAAAAGTTGGAGTATGCTAACCAGTGTGGGGTAGGAGAGTGTGGCCAACTTTTTAAGAAGTCAGAGAAAGTTAAATAAAAATACTAGCCATCATGGACATTTCTCCCACAGATCGTGGGATCTGGGTTTAATCATATTCATTTTCCAGTTCAAATAACCTAGAGGTTACCAGTCAACAATGAGTAATGAAGAAATTCGAAAATTCTTTATGCTCTTTGACTAGGATCTTATACCATGAATAGTCTTTAAAAACACTAACAGGCCTAAATAATCTAAAGTGGGTCAATACTTCTGCAGGAACAATCCAAACATCTCAGGAAATTACTAAAAACAGAAGAAAAGATTTACTGACAGTAATATATTTTATATTTAACACACACAAACCAAAAAAAATAAAAATAAATAGAAGCCAAAGAAACCAAAACAAGCTATTTATTGTTTTAGTTTAAAACATTTTAGTTTAAAACAACTGGAGTTAATTGTCTGTATGGTATGTCAACTTACCACTGAAATGCATTGTAATGGAAGTAGACCAAACCAAGACCGTATAAAAATGCAGCATTCTATAAAGGAAGGAAAAAAAGAAAGCATTTTTATGGAAAACATATATGTAATGTATATTATACTGTTGTTATATATAAAATATGGTATCCACAATGTTTTAAGTTCTTAAAAGTCTTATCCTGTGCAACAAACACCAAAAATGACAATTATGAGTAAGCAGATGGCACAGAATCCAACCAACTTGGAAAAATACTCTGGTTTCTATTTTACAAAATTTGTTCTGGGGCAAGGGAGACCTAGCAGAATTCAATCAGCAAATTTAAAATAAACATCTATTCTTAAAGAAAATGCTTGGATTGGGCTATCCTATTTTTTCCTATTTGCACATGTATGTATGCTTTCTGTGCCTCCTGCCCCAGTCCCCAAATCTTGGACTCCTTAATTTTATGTTCACTATCACCAGGAGGAAAAAGCTAGAAACTCAGCAGTAATTCATAAAATACATCTACAAAAAATGTTTCTACAAAGAATTATGTATCAAAGCAACACTTAGTGTTTTTCTTAATCACTGATTCTTTTGTAGTTTAAAAAACAAACAGGAACACTTATTATTACCCATTTCATCTCCCTCACATCCAAATAGCTAATTACTTTTACGTTTTTTTGTGGTTTGGTGTTTTTTGTTGTTGTTTTGTTTTATTTAGTTTTGTGGAGATAATAGACTTGCTATGAGCCTGGCTGATCTGGTCCTCACTACACAGCCAAGCTGGCCTTGAATTAGAAGCAATACCCCTCCCTCAAAGTTTCCCATGTACTGGCTGTATATACCACCACACTTGACTATACTCATATTTTATAAAAACGGCAAACATTATCCGGGTGTTGGCAGCGCATTTCTTTAATCAAAGCACTCGGGAGGCAGAGGCAGGCAGATCTCTGTGAGTTTGAGGGCAGCCTGGTCTACAGAGCAAGTGCCAGGATAGGCTCCAAAGCTACACAGAGAAACCCTGTCTTGAAAAACAAAAACAAAAACAAACAAACAAAAAAAAAAGGCAAACATTTGAGCTATACTATACCAAAAATGATACAAATCTATTTTAGTATACCTTTTCTACAAGTCAAGCTTTCAAACTGTCCTTTTTCTCAAAATTTCTTTTAAATGTTATAAATTTCTCTACTTCTTTAAGCATTAAAAAATTAAAACTGTGGGCTGGAGAGATGGCTCAGCTATTAAGAACACATGCTCTTCCAGAGGACCCGGGTTCAATTCCCAGTATCACATGGCAGCTCACAACCGTCTACAACTATAGTTTCAATAGATGCAATTAATTTCCTTTTCTGGTTTCCTTGGGCATCAGGCACATAGATGGTACAGAGATTTACATGGAGGCAAAACACCAACACATAAAAATAAAAACAAATCTTAAAAAATTAAAACTATTATTAAGTTGCTTCTTTTTAAAATATGTTGAAACCTAAAGGTTTCAGTGCTAGTTAGTAGTTTATTTTGCTGAGTTAACATAGTTGAACACCTGTAAGGAAGTAAAGCGGTTAGGAAGGAAAGAAAGAAAGGTCAATATAGAATGCACTATGGTAAGGAAGGAAAGAATGAAGGCCAATATAGGATGCACTATGGAGCCAATTCTGGTTGTTAGTAACTAGGACTCAAACTTGCTGGAGATCGCTGGCAAAAGTGTGGAAGATTCCTCAGAATCATTGTGCCCTAATTGTAAGGGGACCAGGGCACACAGCCCCACAATAGTTATAAAACACTAACTAAACAGTTATAAAACACTAACTTGTTTTATAACTAAAAAGTTATAAAACACTAACTTGAGAAAAGGAATACGTGTTTAAGTTTAAAGCCTCCAAAATGTACATGTAAATTCTTCAGCACATGGTTTTTTTTTTAATAATAAAAATTTTACTAGGACCATATTGTACATATCCTTTGAAGTCTATGTGCCTTCTGAAAAAACAATGAAAAACATTTGACTACACTGTAAAATCTAATAATGTGGTAATTTACTTTCATTATACCCTCATTACCCCCAATTTTCTAAATGAGAACATTATATATGACTAAGGGATACATAAAATTGAAGAGTTAAGAAGGTCTCAACATCCATTTTGAAAATTGATACTTAATTTTCTTTAATTTCATTAGAGCTGTTTTTACTCAAAATCATCCATTTCCTATTTCATCCTCTGAAAGAATCTGAACAATACTAAAGGGACTTTACAAAACTAAAATAAAATGTATTTCCCCAATTCTCAAAAAGAACATGTAATGAATGATATGATAAAGATACTCCAAACATAAAAGTCATGAAATGCATTATCTATAATGTCACGACTTGAAAAACAACTACTTTCTTGGAAGATGAAAACACTGAATCAACAAGTTTGTGTGTGTGTGTGTGTGTGTGTGTGTGTGTGTGTGTGTTTTCTACTTCCAGAAAAATCTTACATTCTCCCAATATCTTTACTTTGTTTATACTTCATCTTTCTCTCTCTTTAGGAAACTTATTCCCATCCTTGCCACACTATAAATCCATTTGAATATATAGTATAAGGATCCATTTAAATACCATTTTCTCTGTGAAACTTTGCTGCTTGATCTACATCAAATTAGAGGGAATATCTCTAACCTCTAAATTTGTTGTTAGCACAATCTAACAAGAACTTAGTGTTGTATAGAATGGTGATATTTTCTATTTTTATAAGACTAACAACCTCATGAGGCAGACAAGATTGCTTCACTTGTAAAATAACAACTAAGGCTCAGAGAAAAGCAAATGTTCGAGATGGATAAATACTAAGCAGCAGATACAGGGACTGACTAGGTCAGCCTCCAGAGCTCACTTTTAACTATTTTTTCTATGTCTCTATTATTTGTGTTATTGAACCTCAAACAAAAATGACATAGACAGGAATGTGAGCCAGGCATGACGTCACGTGCTCATGTCAGCATGTAGAAGGCAGAGGCCAAGATGATGACTGTCAAGGTCAAGGCCAATATAGCCTTGGTCTTTATAGCATGTTCAAAGACAGTGGCAGCAATACACATTACTATAAGACCGTATCTGAAGAAAAAACAAAACAAACAAAAAGAGTGCTAATTAAATACGTGTATTCCCTGTTGTAATATAGCATAGTATGCTCTAATACAGCAGATGCCTAAGGATTCACTAAATCTAATCAACCATCATTTAAAACTGCTTAGTTCAGTACAAGACATTACCTCTATCTATTACCTAAGAGCTAAAGCTTCATTTTTCAGTAACAATGAGCAAAACAATTCAAACATTTGGTGATTACCTGTAAGTCACAGCTGAAGCAAAACAAAGTTCAGAATATACCACCCCCAAAATGACATCTTAGCATACTAAAATGTTTAAGGAACTTGACAAACAGTATGCGCCAGAAGAATTTTGTGACCCTCCCCAACCCTTCACCTCTGAAGGTCCTAAGAACCTAGTAGATGCCAAATTGTGAACATTAAGAGTTAATGAAACAGGTAGTACAGTACTTGAGTACTTTATCTCTAGAATACCTGTGAAGGAAGGAGAAAAGAACATCTCAGCCAAGGACATTTAGCTCATATTTCTACAGTCATCTGAGTAGAATTTGCTATAATAAACCCTGAAATGCATATATTCCCTCACAAAATATTAATACATTATCGCAAAAAAGTACTACTGACATCTCTGAGAAATATTAATCTTACTCAAAAGGATGGCCTGAATAAAGGTACTGACATCTGAAAAATAAGTCTTAAACAATTTCTGAGCTGACAAGATGGCTCAGCTATTCCAGAGGTCCCAAGTTCAATCCCTAGCAAGCACATGGTGGCTCACATCTACTTGTAATGAGATGTGGGACCATCTTCTGGCCTGCAGAACACGGTATACATAATAAATAAATCTTAAGGGAGGGAGGGAGGGAGGGACGGAGGGAGGGAGGGAAAAAAGGTTAATTGGGGGAGGGGGAGCAAATTCACTGAGGTATTGGCAAGGTGTTTCTGACTAAATAGCACAGTAAATAATCTCCCCCTACTGACAAATGGAATTACATAAATTAAAGATCCTCTTCACAGCAAAGGAATCAATTATTAAAGTAAACAGCATGAAGAGGTGTCTCAGACTACTGCACATCAGAGCATTAATATCTAAAATATGTGAAAAACTAAAAATTAGTCACAAAAAGCTTAATTGGTTAGTGAACTGCAGAAATAATTCTCAAATGATCAATACTAGAAAATGTGTTCAACACCTTCAGCCATCAGGCAAATGCAAGTTAAAACTGCTTTTGAGATTCCATTTCACTCCAAGAACAATGTATATCATCAAGAAAACAAATGACAACAACAAATGCTGGTGAGGATGTAGGTAAGGAAAATCTTTATTCACTGCTGGTGAAAGTGCTAACTCCTGCAGCCACTAGGAAAGTCTCTCAAAAACAAAACCTAAATATAGAACTACCATACCTATACATACATACAATAACCTATCTATACCACTCCTGGATTTATATCCAAAGAACTCTTAAGACATCATACCATAGCTGGGCGTTGTTGGCGCACGCCTTTAATCCCAGCACTCAGGAGGCAGAGGCAGAGGCAGGCAGAACTCTGTAAGTTGGTCGAGGCCAACCTGGTCTCCAAAGCTACACAGAGAAACCCTGTCTCAAAAAACAAAAACAAACAACAAAAAAAGACATCATACCATAGAGCAGTGGTTCTCAACCTTCCTAATGCTACAACCTTTTAATATAGTTTCTCATGTTGAAGTGACTCCAACCATACAATTATTTTTTGTTGCTACTTCATAACTGTAATTTTGGTAGTGACATGGATCGTAATATAAATATCTGATATGCAACAACTATGAGACCCCAGAGGGGTCATGATACATAGGTTGAGAACCACTGTCAAAGAGATACTTGCACATCTATGTTCATTCCTGTACTATTCATAATAACTAAGAAACGGAACAAGCCTAGATGCCAACCAACAGATGAATATACAATGTTAAGTTTATTCTGCAGTAAAGAAAAA